CCCGAATCTTGGAGGTCCCCGAACAAAGGAGGAGGCCAAGAAGTTCCACAACAGACGACCGAGTGCCTGCTCCATGTTTCCACCTCACCTTCATGGATCGTCAGGCCGATCCCTCCGGGTCACGATGAGGAGGATGCCGAAGACGTCACCACATCGCCTGATCGCCTTCCTTCAGCAGGTCCGCCATTTTTGCACGTGTGCCAAAGCACTGGCCACACAGGCGCTCGCCCTGATCAGGCTTCAACTCTGGCCGCTCCACGCCGATGCGACGCTTGGTCCTCCCCACCACTGAGAGCACGTGGGTGCCAAGCGGAAACTTCTCCCCGGTCGGCTCTGAGAAGATCTCCGTGGGGGACTGCAGAAAGGTGTCAGAAGAAGCTCCCCTCTGGGAGCCTCCACTCAAAGACAGGTTGCCTTCCAAGCCAAACGCCGCCCCATCCTTGATCTTGAAGTACTGCTGGAGCCAGATCGAGCACTGGAGCGATCATCCATGAGGTCCTGGACGCCATAGTTGTCCCTGGGCTTTGCCCCGATCAATGCCGGAGCCCTCGCGACCACCTTCTTCGATGCGGCGGCGTATAGCCCTCCTCCATACTCATAGTCGGTGACCACCTTCCCCAGCGCCTCCGTACGCGCGACATGGCAGTCACCCTCTCTGAATGCTCAGTCCAGAAGGCGCTGGACGATGGGGTCACCAATGGCCTCGCCCTTCCAACATCATCCAGCCGCTGGGACGGAAGGTCCGTGTTCAATGCCCCATGGCGTCGGCGTAGCGGAGCATGCCCGTCGCAAAGCCCTGGAGGTTGTGGTTGGGTTTGCACATTAGGAAGTCCCTGTTCGCCGACTTCAAGTCCTTATTCATTGAATTGAACAGCTCCAAGCCCGTGCGCAACCACCTCGGCTGGAAGACATAGGCATCCACCGCCACGTACATCTGGACGACTTCCACCTTCTTGCAAGTCCTGTTGTTTGGGATCTCATGATGTCCCCAGTCAGGCCGACGCCCTCCTCAAAGACCAGCGTAGCCGGTCGTGTGATCGGAGAGCTGCCCAAACGAATTCACAAGCTTGTACCAGGCATAGACCCTCTTATACTTGGCGAGTCCGCGATCCATGACTGCGTATTCCCATGCCCAGGGGGACCCTCTGGGCTTTTGCCCTCTGGTGTGGCTTCCAGGACCCGCTGGCCTCGACCTCCATGAGGTCGTGTTGGATCGCCATCGACTGAGTCAACCTCTTATCCATTGGGATCTCCGCCGCACACTCAAAGAATGCCACCGCCTTGTAGATGCTCCCCGGGACCGACCTCCCACATGGTTCATGAAGCAGTTGATCGATGTACATCACCAGGTCGGCCTCCTCCCTCAACCTAAGTGTCCCCATAGATGCGCACCATGTCAATGTACTCGTGGATCCGCGCGCAGTACCTGACATGCTGTCTCAACGTCGATGCACGACGACCCATAGCAAACCGAGCGGCTAGGTACTGTACTGCACCCTGTCCTGACTCTGAGCTGCCAGTCGATCGGTGAAGCCTGCCTCACGCATGAGCTTGACCAGCTCCTTGATCCACCTCTGCCGCCTCCTCTGATCCTCCGTAGTGGCTGTGCGCACCATCTTGTGGAGGCATGTCTTCCACGAGACCCTTGGCAGAGTCCGCCGGTGGAATTCTTCTTCCCCCCAACTCGCCGACAGGTCCGGCAGGAGCTTCTTCACCTCGTCGACCGGCAACTCATGGAAAAAGGCCAAGCTGCCCTCGTCCCAGCCGAGGTCCTTCAGCCGGCCAACCGCGCCTGGCTCCGACATGGCTGCCGGAACCTGGCCCCAGCTACTCTTCGAGCCCTGGAACTGCGTTCGTGTCACATGTCGTCGACACGTTGTTTTCGTCTACATATAGTTGAGGAATTTCTGGCCTGGGAAACTACCTCAAGCAGCACAGCGACCTCTGAACTCAACTGCCTAAGGTCTGCTCTCCACACTACACCAGCCGCTGTCTGTGCTGCATTGCAAAAGAACCATGTGCTGAACAGGCTTCGTCAAGTTGCTACGAAGATCTCGTCGTTCGGCTGAACTTCTAAAGTGATGACCTGACAGCAAAGTCATCTGAAAGGCCCTTATTTCACACAGGTTGGCCACGGCCTGCCTGCAAGGGCCCCTGGACCCTGGCCGCGCGCCTCCCTAAAGCACCACTGCTCCTTCTCGCTGCTCCAGTCCCCGAGCTCCGTCTCCTGACGTGATTTATGTCATATACAGTAAGATGATGTAACATGACGGAGCCCTGGGACCTAGAAGTTACCTACTAGTAACTTCTTGTTACTAGTAGTAAGGCCAGGAGCCCCTAGTAGCGTCCTTGCTCCTAGTAGCGATGCCCTTTGTTACTAGTAGCGTCCTCTTGTTACTAGTAGTAATATGTGTGATCGGTTCACAAAGGGTGGATCTATGTGGATCCCATTGCAAGCACTCTGTAGGTGATGGCAAGTTCATGGATGCTGCGGGACAATCCCTCAGGCTCATCATCATGTTTCAAGCGCCCAAGAAACTGGGGCATGTTTGAGAAATGTGATTGATTGTAAAGGCATGATTTGCTTCATGCTCAAGAAGGACCTGATCAAGCATACACCTTTGATAATATCGCACACGCGGAGTCCAAAGCTACTGTATGCTGCCCGCCTAACAGTGTCTTGGAGACTTTCGTTGCACCATGGAAGGAAGGAGTGTCATCAACCAGCAAGTTGACCTATATATCTTCAACCCTTCACACCAGCAAGTTTCAGAAAAGGCATTGTCTGCAATCCTTTCAGGGAGGGATTGTAGAAACATAGTGCTCAATTAAACGAGCACGCTGAAGTAGTGTCTCTGTACTGGTTTCTCCCGTAAATAGATGATTGATCGACGCAATACTCTGCCTCTTGAACAAAGTCTACACGGTTGAGATGGTGGAGGTGGAGAGGCACAGCCTGAAGCAACTTGGTTGGCCTTGAGCTTGTCGTTGATGCGGATGCTCACATAGGGGCGTTGATCCTCAGGGCGAGCTCAACAAAGGGGGCAGGGCAGTGTTCTTACAAAGGCATGTAAAGACTTGCCAGTCTTGACAAAATTTGAGTACCTGCACTTTCAAGATTATTATTAATGATTTGATGGAAATGATGGCCCTGGTTGGACTTCACAGAAGTCAGGTACAAGGCGCCTGAACTAAACCGGGTCCGGCAATCGTCTCCACCGTCGCGCTATGGATGACAATGCTCAGCTTGAACCTCCACGACTTGAGGTCTAAAGATTTATAACGAACCAAAGACTTCAATTTCAAGAATGAATAAAGAGAAAGACCACAAAAATAGATTTATATAGGGCCCCCTGGAAGGGTCCTTCCCTTTCATTCATCTTTCATCTCTTTCTTATATATATATATATATTTCTGTTTGAAGTTGAACATGCAAACTTCCAGTTTATCGTATCCCCCCATGTATCTCTGATCATCAGCCAAAAACAACCTTAAATGAATGCAAATCCCCTGACAGGACTAATCTCGGGCTACGTCAACCCGCCACTTGGGCGCTGGGCTTGAATCATGAGGGATTTTTGTTTAATCTCAGCCCATTGGGCGCTTGGCTTCTCCCAAAGGCACGTGTTAATCAACCCGGAGAAAGTGTCATTGATTGACACAACTCATTGGTCTGACTACTAGCATTGATAAATCACATGTCAGGGCGACGGTCGAGCAGCGCCACTACCTTTACAGCTGGCCTCGGACATTGCTAGTGACTGCCAGCAACTGAATGGACACTTCCTTCTTCCTTCTACTATCCTATTGTTTTTTCATTGTGTCTTTCTCTTCTTTGCCCGCTCCTAAGGAGGGCCTACTTAATTAAGGAAGGGCGACTGGTTAGCTTCTAGCAACTGAACGCAAGATTGCTCACACACTAATGATTTGGTTTCTAGATTCTCAGGGAAACGATACTTTGTTCATCCTGCTTTGGAGTCTTCCCCATCAAATGTTTATCGAACAAAACAGTTGTTACTTCGAAGCGGATGAATCCGCTCGTCTCTTCTGTAACACCACAGGTCTCTGGTAGGCACAGGGTTGTACAACCAGCCAAATAGCTTTGAAGTTTGTCAGACCCTGAGGCAGGAAAGAATGTAGTAAAACAGCAAGAACTTTGATTAGGTTGAAGGTAACAATGATTTGGAAAGGTGAGCTACAAAGACCACAGGCAGTTCTTCGAAGGTCGAATAGTCTGTAAGCTCAGCAGGCATCTTGCGACCCAGGAGTGTAAGAATGTATTGGGCAATGTGGTATCTGTGTTTATGTGTCTTTGGATGTCGTAGTACATAACGTAATACTGTTGATGGACAAAATCCTGCACCACTGGACGGACAAACTCATGTATACCCTCGCGCTCCCTCTTTAACATTGAGTTGAGGAAATGCCTGAAACAGAAAAAAGTTGAATGACCAAAATCCTGCATCACACATAGCAAACATTGAGACAACTTTGAGTTGGGGGGCACGGGGGTCTGTACTATTGGAGGAGGTCTGTACTATTGGAGGACCTCATGTGTTGCTTTATCGATGCAGGAATTCGTCCATCAACCATAGAATACAATAACATCTTTTTTTACATATCTGTATAGGTACAGACAGATAGATGGATAGATAGATAGATTAGATAGATAGACAGACATCTATATAGCTGTCTCTATGTCCATTCTGTGCCGTCTACGTCTACGTCAGCAAGCCGCCTTTATCATGCAATACCCCCACGCGTTGTTTCGTGTAGATCAGGAAGGGTCTCCAACACTCGAATCGACTTTGCGAAGGAAGCCCTTCAGGGGCCGCCACAGCACAGGGAAAGGATCCACATTGAGCTCTACAGGCATAGCCTGCCTAAGTTCGGAAAGCTTGGAGGAAGCTTGGTTCGCATTTACTTGCTCTGAGTTGCAAAACCTCACATAGGAGATTCCATCACATCTAAACCTCTCCACTAGGCAGCTCAAAAAGCTTTTCTCTTTGAGAGTTGCAGGCACGACGAAACTTCCGACATCTATTGTGAGGCGTTTATGCCTAGCCTGCTGAGCAGTTCTACACTTTCCCCAGCCAGTGCTGGCCTTCACAAGGAGAAGTTGTACAACTGGGTGAAACGCCCATATCAGGCCCTCCCACTCATGTCAGCTTCCATTGCTGATCTGCCGGTTCGAACGTAGCGGCAAGTGCAAAAGCAAATAAACATAATGATGATCACCACAAAACATGCTACCCCAATGGTAGCGATGAGTGCACTATCCACATCATCCATCTTCTCAACGCTGTCGAAGTTTGAGGTTTCCAAGCTGGAAATGCACGGCCACTCATTCGTCGGCCATGCCCAACGCTTGGAAGGCTCCGAGCCGTTTCTTGCACAGCCAAGGTTACAAGGCATCTGCAGCTCCAACGCAGCACACCCGCCAAGTTCTCCACATCCTGCTTCTCGAAAGCATCGCACCATGCATCGAGTAGTCAAACACAGGCAAAGGTCATGTCTTGTGACATTCCTAACAAAGCGCTCCCGGCAGTAGTCCATATAGTTCAGGTTGGTCACTCCACATGTACAGTTGGAAAGACATTCAGAGTATGCTAACCACTCTGGGCTTTGTTGGGTGCATGCCGCCATCGCAGCCTGCCAAGATGTGCTTCCAAGCTACGGCCTGTCAGTCCCTTTTGGGTGCTTGAGCCAGCTGAAGCAATGTCTCTTCAAGCATGGAAAGGGCAACATCATGTAGATTGTGCTTTTATAGAAGTTACGATCTAATGAACAGATTGACACTGTTATATGATTTGTCCTACTTCAAGGCTCGAACACCAAAAGAGATGAGCAACGCTATCATTCCTTAAGTCCAAAAAAAATTGTGCAAAAAAAAAGAACTTCTAAGAGGGTCGAAATCTGCCACTGGTAAAACTCCAACATGATGCATGTGAGAAACTGGAGTCCCGCACGATGAAGCCTATGGCGGACTGCCACATCCTCAGATGCAGGCAAGGAAAAGAAAAACAGGGGGTTGCAGCGGCAAATGCAATTGATTTGGATCACTGAAACCGTTTGCTCGATGGACTCGATCGGCTTGGTGTCTGCAAGCTGATGAAATCTGCCAGGGCACCCTTTTTGTGGCATTGACAACTGTTGCAACCCTTGTGATGGAGGAATGAATTTTGAAGGAATAGAGGATCACTTGGGATCATTCAATCCTGTCGCCTCACAATGCTGAGACTCCTGGCTCAAGTGCAAAGCATTCGTGAAGCCACAGCCCACGCTTGAATAAGGTCTTTTTCGTTTGTCAGTACTCTTGTGATCAAGCAGTGCAAAAATTGTGTTTATCTCAAAAAAACTCTTTACAATATCTTCCTGTTGAAGAATTGATCCAACGGCTTCTATGGCGCAGCACTTGTCCTTTTTGAATTGAATTCTGAGCCAAAAATGTGGTGGGTATACTTGCATAAAGAGGGCAAACAAAAACATAACAAACATGTGCTGACGTGTATCTGATTCGCATCCCGCGGCTGAAACTGAAACTGAAATTGACTGAAAGTTGTTCTTCTCAATGCTTCGTGCATCTTTGGGCTTTTGGGCCCAGAGATTGACCTTTGGAGCTGGCTGATTGGCCAACGAATCCTAGTTGACCGAGCCCACAAGTATCTGATCTGGACTGAACCGTCTGAACTCCCAATTGGAGTGTTTTTGGGATGTTAGAAATCCGAAAATATTTGTCGCTTCCAACCCTGCTTGCAGGCATCGATATTCATGGTGGCATATTGTGTATGTGACAGTGCGTCTGAAGAAAGAAGCAAGTCTTTTGCTTCACAAGGTATCGTATGTACAGTATGTATATTATACAGTATATACTATACGGAGACACTTATTATCTGTGGTTCAGAGAAATGAACCTGTGAATCATCCAAGCAGCCAAGTGGCAAACGTTCAGCCAATCATTCAGGCCCAAATGAATTGAGGCAGCTAAACTACCCCCTACTCCCTAGCAAAAGAAGCTTGTGGGAGTAGGGGATACATATAGCCTTACTTCCTTGGCCGGTATGACATGTCAAAGCAACTAATGCTGGAAATGCATCAACAAAAAGGCCCAGTTGGGGAATGACACAGCAAGTCAATATGCAAAAAGAGTTCCTCAATTCAGGGTCTCCTCATCTTTGGCATCCTTGATTTTTCAGCATCTGTCATCAGGCCAGAAGCAGGCAAAAGCTTAATTTCAGCAAGAACTCTCCGAAACGTCCCCTTGCGTTCAAGACTGTCAGGAACTTACTCATAGCACCCATCACACTACAGTACAGGATCTGTTCTCGAAGGGGATTTGCACAGGTGCAGAGGTTCCTAGCGAAGCCATGACGATCTTCACAATGTCCAACAGGCGGATCTCACCTGTGAGACGTTGATACCCTTCAACAAAAAGAATAAGTAGCAAAGCAGCAGACGAGAGAAGTGCAGAAGAAAAAAAATATATATTGTATATAGTATTATAGTTTCTTGGTGCAAGTCAAGAAAGGCCAAGCTATATAGGCATCGAATCAACATCAAACACAAACAGAATCGAGGAGGATGAACCTTTGAAAGACACACACTCACACTCACGTACAAAGCAGGGCACAACAATATCAAGTGAAGAGGCATGTCAGTATGGTGGGACTCAACAAGAAGTACCAATGTCAAGGTAAGCTGGGAACCGTAGTCAGACTCCTCAAGTTGCAGAGATGTTGAAGCACGATGAAGGAACAGTAAGGAACAGTCAGTGATTGGAGGGAGATACTGAAGATTCATTCATGTCTCAAAATGATTTCAATAAAATAATACGTAATAACAGGTTTCCTCCTCTGGCTTCCGATTCCTAACCAGCCAGAATGTCTTTGTTCCAAGAACAGCAGCTCATGTGCTATGCTAGGTCGACTCTGGGCCTGGCGGCTACCTCATCGCTCTTGCCGAAAAGAGTGGCCTCACTCCCCGCTCCACGCACAGGGATGAGAAACTCGAATCAAATGGACAGAAACTTGGCAGCTTAATTGTTTCCAATCTCAGCTTCTAGCTACTAGTAGCAATGCTCTTGTTACTAGCGATGCCCTTGTCACTAGTAACTAGTAGCCTAATTGTTTCACATAGGTGCTTAATTGTTTCCTTCTAGAATGATTCACACACGTGTCACACGTGTCACGCCCCCAGATCTCCTCGGTGTGGCCATAGCCGTCTCTCGGATCTGTCGACCCAATACCTGAAAGCTTCAAAGAACCATCACGTGGGAGCTGGTGTGGGAGCTCCACAAGACTGTTTTGCAAAAGATTTTGTTCTTTAGACCTTTTGTCCAAACATGTTGTTCTTTAGACCTTCTTTTGAGACCTTCTTTGGGTGTGCTTTTCAAAGTGCTCTCTCAACCTCTTTTCAGAACATGTGTTCTTTATTCCTTATTTTGTAGGCATTGTTTCTTTAGAACCACGTTCAAGACGTTAAAATGTGTTTTGTCTTTAGGCCCTTGTTGGACCGTTTTTTGGCGACATGTTTCTGATTTGGTCTGATTTCGTTCGCTACTAAGCGAGGGGCTCGGAATTATGATTTAATCTTCTTCAAGCTCCCCTGCTCTAAATGTATCGTCGGGTGGCCCCACGTTGTAATGGCCCCTCCCACTTCTAAGATTTACCCCCAGGCGGCCTACACAAAGCCCGGTGTTGCAATCAGTGCTTCCCTCCTGCTCTAAACTGTGGCCTACAAAAAGTGTGCCACGTTGGAATGGCTCCTTCCATCAAAAGAGAAACAAACGCCAACAAAAACAACAGCACAACACAAGAAATCAAGAGAATTGTGCCACAATAATATCCAAAGAGTAATAAGAAAAAAAGAAAACAGAAGGGGTGGCCATGGGGCCTGGGCTTTTGTTTTCTATAAATTTTAGGTAAATGCTTGAGATAATTGCATTGGTGCCACAGTCACGACTAAAAAACACTCATAAATATGCATAAAGGATCAAAAACACATAAGAAAACACAAAAAAAACTTAGGAAACCAAAAAAACAAAAAAAACAATTCTCAGAGACTCTTGTCTAGACCCCTCAAAATAAAAAAACAAAAAACAAAAAAAACTTGAGAAAAAAACAAAAAACACAGTTCTCAGAGACTCTTGTCTGGACCCTCTTGTCCTCAAGACTTCCCCAGAATTGTTTTTTTTCCCGAATGCGTAGCGAAGGGTTCTCGTTTAACTCTTGGGGGTCTGGGGGTAGAGCCTTGTTCGCGACCCGTTGCTTCTATGTTCGCAACCGTCCGCAACCGTTCGCAACCGTCCGCAACCGTTCGCAACCGTCCGCAACCGTCCGCAGTAGGACGCTAAGGCGCTGCCATTGGGGGAAGCTTTTGCAAGTGACTTTTCATGGATGTGTCACGTGTGAGGTTGCGACGCGAGTCCATTGTGATTTGCGTGAAAAACACATGTCGCGCAAGAAGCGGGATGCATTTCGCTGCACAGGCGCAGCGTTTCGTGAGATCCGCAGTTTGCGTCGCAGTTCCATTGGGATTAGCGTTTGGAGAGTCGTGTGTTTGGGGTGTTGGATGTGGCTGTGCCATTGGGATTTGCGTTTCAGGGTGTGGCATCGAAGCTCTGTTTTCGTGACAAGTCTCAGCTGAAATGCCGATTTTGGTGGATGGGAGTGTGCAATCCAAGGGTCGAAATCATTCCAAACGTGTGGTGTGGTGCAAGTTTTGTTGAAGCTCACATGAGATGACATTGTTACTTTTCGTGGCAGGCGCAGGACTTTGTGCGGGTTTTGAGGTGTGGAAGTGGGATTTTCGTGGCAGGCGCAGGGAATCGTGAGGTTGCGATGTGTGACGGAGGTGACATTTCGTGGCAGGCGCAGTACTTTGCGCGCGTTAGACGTGTGGACGCGGAAAGATTCGTGGCAGGCGCAGGGAATCGGGAGGTTGTGAGTTGTGGTAGAGGTGAATGTCGCTTTGGGATTGGCGTTTGAGCGGGTGTCGTTTGGAGGGGCTGGAATCGCGAAACTGCTTGGCAGGGCTGCGTGATGTGTGTGCTCCGATGGATGTATCCGCTGGACTTTTGGAGGAAGTCTCGTGCGAAACGTTCGTTTTGCAGACTTTGATATGAGTTTTTGAGGTCTCGTACGAAACGCTCGTTTTGGGGGCTTGACATGTGACTTTTGGAGAAAGTCTCGTACGAAACGCTCGTTTTGGAGACTTGACGTGTGACTTTTGGAGGAAGTCTCGTACGAAACGCTCGTTTTTGAGACTCAGAGTGTCCGACAAGAGTGTCCCACAAGAGCTTCCTACAACAGTGTCCCACAAGAGTGTCCCACCAGAGTGTCCTACAGGAGTATCCCACAAGAGTGTCCTACAAGAGTGTCCCACAAGAGTGTCCCGTGTGAGTGTCCCACAAGAGTGTCCCACAAGAGCTTCCTACAACAGTGTCCCACAAGAGTGTCCCACAAGAGTGTCCTACAGGAGTATCCCACAAGAGTGTCCTACAAGAGTGTCCCACAAGAGTGTCCCACAAGTGTGTCCCACAAGAGTGTCCGACAAGAGTGTCCCATAAGAGTGTCCCACAAGTGTGTCTCACAAGAGTGTCCCTTAAGAGTGTCCCGCAAAAGAGTGTCCCGCAACAGTGTCCCACAAGAGTATCCCACAAGAGTGTCCCACAAGAGTGCCCCACAAGAGTGTCCCACAAGAGTGTCCTACAAGAGTGTCCCACAAGA